GGCAGACGACCACCCACCTAGAGCCGAAAGGTCTGTCCTAGGTTTCTGCCTCTTAACAGGCAGTTTTTCCTTGCCCCCGTCGCCAAGTGCTTGCTCATGGTGTTACTGTTGGGTCTCTAAATGTTATAAGGAGTTCGGTCTAGACCTGCTCCATTTGAAAAGTGTCCTGAGATAACTTCTGTTATGAATTGGCGCTATACAAATAAAATTGAATTGAATTGATTTGAATTGAATTGAATTGAATTGAATTGAATTGAATAAATCAAACCAAAATGTGGTATCTTGATGCAGTCACAGGCCTGTAATAAGCCCAGCTCATTCCATTTAGACCAGATTTCATGATTGGCTGACCGACCTGCCTGTCTCTGTGCACACCCTGGCCCCTGTGCACTCAATTTGCATAACCAAAAAGTTTGGATAAAGCAACAGGTTAAACCAGAATAATATCGATGTGGCTTTTCAACAATGGTGAGAACTGAAGGACAAGAAATTAATTATATGCTTTTGATGATTTGTTATTTCTGAACTATGTAGTATGTAGAACAATGTATGAATGGGATATGAGGTAGTTGGATACTGTCAGCAATGCGCTGTGCTCCTCTCAGGAAGTGCGTGTCCATGTGTGTTGGGGGAGTGGCTTTGGAGGGAGACCTAAAGGGAGGGGGTGGCATTTCTTTTGGTTGGATACTTTCAAAATCTAGCCGTCTCTTGCTAGTTTCTCCAACGTTACCTAGCATAGCTTTAAGAAGTGCTGCTGATGTTTTAAGATTCAGTGGACACCTTCCCAAAGTTGCCACAGTGTGTGTACATTTACACTAAAACATTCAAATGAGATTTGTGTCATCTCTTGCTAATAACCTGACTACAGGTCGGCTACAACCTCATCTAGACTTGATGTGTTTTGCTGTCGGTTTTCAATATAAAAATGATCCACGGTGCAAGAAAGAACCTCAGTTTTAAAAGACCACTACCATCACTAGTATCACTTTGTAAGTGAGAAAGAATAAAATATGAAATTGTTGAATATTATGCTAAATACTGATGTTGGTTATGTAATGCTATAATCTAGTAACAACATGAAAGTGGTTCTGAACCCATTTGACACCACAAGTGTTTTAGTAAATAATCTGACTCTTGAACTCTTCAACTGGAGCTCAACACTGTTTCATTTTAGCTTTTACGTAACTCTAGGCTAAAAATTAGCTGCTAAACAACTTCAAACATTGCCACAAAGGCCCAATTTTAGTTGGTCATGTGCACCAGATGGTAATACAGAAAAGGAAGGAGGAGGATACCCTTACAGGACAAAACATCAACAAGATAAAAAAAAAGACTTCCAGCGCTCTGACTTTTCTGCTTTTTGTAAACCTGAGCCAATCAGAGAGTTATTCTCAGGTTCTACAACATGTGTATCACCCGGCACTGCCGTCAGTAGTATTTTGTGGGTCGGGCTGAGCAACAGCGGCACAGAGCGTCATAGACACAAGGAAAGAGTGCAAGAGGCGGCGATGGGATCCCTTCTCTTCCTTTGAGAGGAGTGACATTTGAAACAAAGAGGCCAGTTATGTGAGCAGTTCTGTCTGGGACAGGCAGACTGACAGAGGCCAACTACTTCCAGCCCGCCAAATCAAACGCCCACGTAGGGCGGGGTCACTCAGGGATGACTCATTCATACACACACAGGGAAACAGGAACAAACACACAGTATATACTGTACTGTTCACACTCAAAACTTCCTTAAAAAGTCAGTTCTTTAAGGGAAAGATGTGCAACTGTGCAAATCTGCAAGGAAATGTTAAATGGAAATGTCATAGGAAATAAATACCTTGTTCTTGCACTCACACATTTCTCCCAGCACTCTTTTGTCTGCAGTACAGGTGAAAGCGTTCCTGGTGGGATTGCCTGTCTTTCTCTTGTCTCTGACGTTGTGTCAAAGGAAGGCTTTTGTTTTTTTTTGTTTTCACTTGCCACCTGGGCAACCTGCCAGACCAAATAAGACTTTTTATAGTTTGTTTCGAGGCCTCCTTTGTGAGATAGCACTTTATATGGTTCCTTGGAAAGGCTTTGTCAATATTTCAGCTTCCATTTAGTCACAGTAAATTATGCCGGCCAGACAAATAAACACTATTTACTGGAGTTTGTGTGGTTTTGCTATCACTGACGGTGGTAAGCTAAGCTTCCAGCGGCAGCTTTTGCATCTTTGCCTGGAACATTTCTTTGTGTCTCTCGATGCGTCATGAGCTCTGTAAGAGGGAAATGATGAGATTTGGCATATACGTTGCTGCCGTTTGCTGAGCTGTTAATGTTAATTTGATAACTTTGACTGAGCTGGCTGTTACCTAGCAACATAATATTTGGCCATAAATAGAAACTAATGGACAAACATTGCCCGGCTTGGCTACCTTCCAAACATCACCTCTGGTTTCGATGGCCATTTTTATGAATGATTATTCTGGAAATGCTGACAATCTGAACTTTGCCATAATTGTATTGTTAACATAAGCCAGAGGAACTCCCTGAAAAGGACATATTAAACAGTGGAGGAATGGAGTTGTTTGTTTTCACACTTGAGCTAGTCATAAGTCTTAAGTCTTCCTTGTTTGGTCTTGAAAACGTTTTGTTTGTTTTTTTTACACTTTATATCTACAAAAAAGGGATTTAAAAACAATATTTCTGTTTTATAGAAATGTTCTATTCTGAGCTTCACTGAGCCTTTAGATTTAGTTCCCTTTTTTTCAACATTATTAGCATATAAATCAAGGATAACACAATAAAATTGTTAAGAATTGTTTCCATTTTGGTCGTTGATGTAAAGCTAGGCAACATCATAACAAACCAGCGCAATTTACTGTATACATGCAGATATACTGTATGTATAAATTCTGCTGGTTTGTTAGGAGGATGATCATTAATAAAATCAATCCAAGAAATAAATATTTCACCTTCTTCAAAAAAAAACTTGCTGGTTACCAGTTATTTTAATCTGCAAAGCTAACATAGAACCTAAAGTACAGCACTGAACCTCTGCAGGCATAAGTAATTTTAGGATACTCAAGCTTTTATATTTTTACCTGAGAAAATATATATTTTTTAAATAGTTTGTAACACCTCCTTATTAAAGTATAAAATAATCCGATAATCCAAATAAATCCCATGAAAAGACAAAAACCAACAATGAATTTGTCACAAAGTCAACCTGATTCTAGTTCCACATTCTCTATCTGCTCTCTTCTGTTGCCTTGAACTAACTGTCCTGTCATTTCAGATCCTGCCACTCCCTGCTAGTATTGACTTTTGCCTGTTTCTGACCACAAGTAAAACTGAACTTCTTACCTGCATGGTCTCTGAATTGTGCTTTTGGCTCTGACCTGGCGAGCCGTTATGGAAACAGTTCCATACTTTTTCCAAAAACTATTAAAAACACATCAGAGGGCCACACTGTTACTCTGGATAAGGAAGATATACTACACTAGTCTATCTTCCTTATCTAAATCCCAGAAACAAAATCCTGTCGCTGTAAATAATCACTAGAGCACCAAATTTCTATTAATGCGCTGCTGGAAACAGTCCCCAATAAATAAATGGAAGCTAGTAAATGGACTGCACTTAAGTAGCGCTGCACCTTAATAGATATCATTCACACATTCCCACAACACACTCACACTGCGGCAGAAGACAGCATGCAGGGCCTTGGCCTGGCTGTCAAGAATACACGATATCTTGTAGCGTCTGTTAAAACTACAGTGTCCAGTTGTTTAAGGAAATAATTTAACCTTTTTTAAAAGTAAAATTATATTTTTAAGACCCACTTTTAAAGAACGTCCTCGGTAGGAATAGACATGCTGGAGGCTGTGAGACAGGGAAAAGAAATCGTAAAGTATCGAGAGACAGACCAAGACATTGTTGGTTTTGGTCTTTTCATGGGATTTATTGACAATAACAAAAATATAAAACATCCCCAGCTTTGTCCTTTAAGGAGAAAATGTTTAGACTCCTTTTAAACAGCATGGCTCGTTTCAGACACATGGAATCAACCTAGTTTTCCAGGAAACTTGTTGTTTGTTTCATGTGAGTTTTGACGACTTTAATCCATAGTTGCGTGAAACAGACTGAGATCTAAAATCTATTTAAAAGGTAGAACGTGGCACTAACACTGCCAGGAATAGGAGTTTGATTCCCGCCAAGCTATCCTTTGCACTCACAGCATTGTAAAACCCCTTTGGATGAAAGCGGCCTCCAAAGGGCCTTATGTTATGTTATAATAAAGTGAGATCAAATAAATGGCAGGGGCAGAGGAATTGCTCTGGGACTGCACGTGTTTGGTTAACGCCAAACAGATGTAGGCATACTGTATGATTACTGCATTATAGCATGGATTGTATACCCACTCAGACAGGAAAGACATGGCAGCTGTTAGCCATCAGCGTGGAGGCGCAGGCAGCCTCAAACTATAGGCCGCGGCCGTGCCTACTCAAACACAAATGAACCTATGCACATGTTCGCGAATGTACACGCTATGCAGCCGGATGCAGACACAGAGGGGCGTGTGGAGGCACGAACACACACAAACACACTCACAAACTAATCCCTTTTATCTCTGTAATCTGATGTTTAACGTCAGGGCCCACTGTACGCCTATCGCCATCTTATAAAGTACAGAGCTTCTGCCAAATAACATAAACATCCTGAAATGACCGCTGCTCTGCGTCATAATTTTCTTCTCATAACAGAGCCTACTGCCTGGTTATTTTAGAGCTCTGGGTGACCCTGAAACCAGAAGTTTCCTCACTCCTCCTCTCTTGTTATTTAAGGAAAACTTCAGTGTTTCCCTTTCTGCTCTCTCTCTCTCTCTCTCTCTCTCTCTCTCTCTCTCTCTCTCTCTCTCTCTTCTCTCTCTCTCTCACTGGGTGTGGTTAACAAGAGGCAAACTTGTGTGAATGATGTGGACTCTATAGTCATAGCTTAGACTCAGTCCACACCCTTGAACTTAAAGAGGAGTTTGGAGGTGGAGCAAAGCAACGCTTGGAGCACAGTTTGAGCTTGGACTTGTGCTCAGAGGATTTTGCAGACAACGTGTACGTACGCTGTGACTCGTGTTGTCTTTGTGCTTCACTCTGTGACTTTTGGATCTCTTCAGTTTGAGCGTGTAGAGGCATCACCTTTTTTAATTTTTTTTTCTGTTTTCTTTAACTCTCTCTACTCAAAGACGTGTGTGAGTTTGAGAGCAATTTCTGCTTCAGTAAAGTTTCAGAGGTGAGTGAAGTTTGACTGTGGAGGCTATTGTAAAGGTGAAAATGAGAGAGTTGAGGGAGTTAGGAAGTTACTGATGTGTTTTGGAAGTTTCAGAACGTTTACAGAGTGTAATTGCAGGACTATCACTTGATATTTTCTTCTAAATTTAATAAACACATTTTGAATATTTTATCAGAAAATAAATTCATTTAGAAGTGATTTATTGTTTTTTTAGTCTGATAACCTTGATATGTCCCAGTATTTATTAAGTTATTTTCCTTTTTGTTTGTTGGTTACTAATTTCATCAGGAAATACGTGCATGTGACTATCCGTGTGACTATCTGTAAGGGAACCAGGACTCGATTTTATACTACATGATAGTAATGACTTGAAAAATGAGCGGTCACAAATATTGAAAATTGTAAATATTACTTTGTTTACAACTTCTAGAATCTTGGTTAATCTGCAGTTTGTGTCCTGATATGAACTCCAGCGCAAGGAGTGATAAGTGCTAGTAAGCGTATGAGCTGGGGCCCACAGTGATGTTTGTGACTAGATTAGAGTAGATATTAATCAGATCCATGGTGTACGTGGCAGGCTTGGATTGTTCTACTCTCTTCATTTGTAATGCTGCTAAATATATTTTTGCATTCGAACCTGCACTGCACCTTTTGCATGATTCTCTTTGCCAAAACAAAGAGTTTCCATTCTCTGTACTGATGGGAGTATGATTAGCTTCTCCATTTATCATTTCTTTGGCCCTCCTCATTTTTCCAGAGCTAGCATTCACCCGAGGTTGATCAACTGTAAATTTAATTGTAGCGCCATTTTTAAAAGGTGATTTCGTTGATTCTGAAGTTGAACACGAGAGCCGAAAAACTGCCAAACAGAATATGAAATTCAGACCATGTGGTTTCTCGCTCTGTCTTCCTTCCTCTCTCCATACGTTAAAAGTTGGCACAGATGGAGGAAGTAGCCAGTCTTTTCCACCTGACATCACTTAGTGATTACACACACATACACACATACACACACACACACACACACACACACACACACACACACACAAACACAATGGTCTCCCCCAATTCACTGCTGCCCAGTTGGCTTTATTAGTCTTTCTGGGTTTCCTCAGTGAGCAGTAAAAATCCAACTGATACTGTCCAGAAAACTCGAGCAAAACACACCAAACCCTGACTGAAAAAACACACCTGCCTGCCTCAGTCTACATGTCAGGGGGGAGTGTGTTGAGACAGGCCAGAGATGCTTTAACTTTTTAACAAAGGACTGAAGCAGTAACATGTCAGAGTGACAAATTGCTGTTGACATGAAAATACGTTTTAATCTGACATCCGTATTGGCAGTGCCTGCAGCTTTTCTTCACAGTGTGTGTCGTATTTCACACATATTGATTTTAAAAGCATGAAATGTGCTTTATGTCGATGATATGATATTACAGACCCCCCCTCCCCCCATCAAGTCACAGAGAGCGTAATAATCACAACTGAATGTTGTCTAAAGAAATACATTGAAATCAGCACCACTAATAACAATGGACAACTTTAATTCTATTTATTTTGTATCTATTTAATTACATGTTTATGAGTCAATTGCAATCATAAAAAAACCCAACAGAATAATACTTGGACTGCTTTACATCAGCTTTGGATCTAATAAAATACGACATATCAGTGGAGGTGTACTGAGACAGTGTCCAGGCCTTGCTGATTGAATTTTATTGAGCCTGATATTTAATGTGCACAGTGAAAACAGGAAACAACCCTCCCAAATCAAATATGTCAGGAGGCTGTATTACAGATTATGGTGTTTATAAACACCAGCTTGAAAAAACATTGGAAATAGTGTAATGTTTAGATTAAAAAACTGGAAGCCAACAAGAATTCACACAGGAAGAAGTCCAGATTTAGTACTGTATTTAAATAAATGTCACTAACTGCTCAATATTTTGAATTTATAGCTTATTTTAATCTTTTACATCCTGTTAAATATGAAATAAAAAGCAGTAAAAAAATTATAATCTATCACCAAAAAAGTGTCAATAATAGTAAATAAAAACAGCATTCTGGATTTAATTGAATTTAATTTAGGGGGAAAAGAAGCACATTTTCGCCAGCAAATCGCTTGAGGACAAGTCAGGGAAGGAAGACATGGCGAGCGGGGAAGAAGACAGAGCGACACTGACACAGACTGGAAGAAGCGACAGAGGGGCGAGCTAAGAGAAAGCTGAGAGTCAGGCTTAAAGCAAGGCAAAGCAGGGGGAAAAAATGGAGGAAAACAAAGATGAAAGGCTAATTTTAGGAGTGTTGGAAGAGTGTGAGAGGATTTGTTCTCCTCAGTCTTGTTTACAGGAAGTTCTTTTAAAGTTCCACAGATGGCTGCATTCACAGAAAGGCTTTTATTGCATTTTTCCGTACCCCATAAACTCCCTATACCTTCATTTATGTGTGGGAAAGTATGATTGCTGCTGCTGCTTGGCTCAAGGTTGGTCTCATCTTGAGTTTTTTGTTGAAGTGGATTGCTCGCTTGCTGCATGTTGGCTGCAAGAGTCATTACTTTCTCTAGAATTAACGTTAGTGTCTGGATCTGTCTGTGTGTGTGTGAGAGAGAGAGCGCGACAGAGGCATTCATACACTTTACTGTACGCGTTTTTTTTTTTTTTAACCAGTATTTTAAGGTCAGTGCTTCAAACAAGTAAAAGAAGAAATAATTTCTTCTTCTCTAACGCCCTGTAACACTTACAGCAAATACACAACCACTAAAGACTTCAAACAAATCCATATTTGAGCTTTAGTTCATGAAAATAATTTTGCACACAGCTGTGTGATGTAATTGTGTATGTCTGACATGTCCAAATATTTTTAAACACATGTCAAGCCTGTATTAAATCAAGCATGTGACATACTTGGGTAATATATAAAACAATCCTAACTCTAACCCTGTAAACTAAATTATTGATGTAAATATAATAAAATGACTAAAACATGTCACTTTGGTCATTTTTAGTTATTATCATTACAACCAAAACAATTAATTAATAGGTGATCGATTATTGTCAAGATTCTTTCTAATATATAATATAATATAATATTTTTAAGTCCTTCATCAGGGACACACAGGTTCCTTTATAGCACTGTATATTGAATATTTTAATCCTTTGCACTGTTGGCCAGTGAAAACATGCCATTAGACACTAAGTCACATTAAGCTTGCTGAACTTTGGATATTTTTCCTCTATTTTGCATGTGAATTAAATAAATATTTGATTATAAAAACACAATATAGATGGATCAATTATAAAAATAATCATTGGTTGCGCCTCTAATTAGCATGCAATATCATTGTACTCTATATATAAGAGGTCTAAAGCCATGTTGTTTAGTATTTTCTCTGCTTATTTTCTCTTCTGCTGATGTATAGGGCTTCATAGTTAAAGGGTCTGTTTGGTCTCAAGCACCCAAAGCATTCATTTGTTCTTGCAGTCCAGGCCTCATCCAAGACTATGAGTCCACAGAGGGCCCTTTAAAAAGCTGCAAAGGCTTACCGGTACCATGTTGAGAGGTAAATAAAGTTAAGGGCTCCTTAAGGGCTGGTTTGCCTCCAGATTCGCTGGGACGTGGGTCTGTAAGAGATTTAGTGGGCAAGGAGTTTCTGCAGAAGTGATTTGGCTCCAGTGGCCAAACCTCAACCAAATTATTTTTGTTGATTTATTTCACAGGAAAATGTAAACCATCCTAAGGTTTGTAATTAGGCTTATTTTTAGGCTTTTTCATTTAGTTTTACACATATGTTGACTTTATCTGGAAAAATATATAAGTTTTATGTTTGGAAGTTAGGAGGCCGAAAAGCTTCAAGTACCAGCGGAGCTGTTAAACATGCATTTCATTATGAAATCATTATGTTCCATTTGGAGTATAAATATCATGAGAAAGTCTCTCAACTTTTGATTTAAATTACTAATAATAAGCACGGGGAAGAAAAAAAACCATTTGTCCTTACAAAACAGAGAAGATCAAAGAGCATTTCTGAGCAGTTTATTCTATTGAAATACTCAGTAATCGCCACAAAATTATTGTTTTGTCAAAGATTGTCATATGGTTCATATTGAGTGAAAATGTACAAACTTCTGGGAGAGACAGGACGTAGTATTATTCATGGGCTTCACTGTGATGACTGAACTGAACTATGGACAGTCTGTGCCATGTTACTGTACATGCACTGTGCTGTTGTTTACAGCAGTGATTCCCAACCAGAGGTACTTGTGCAGTTGCCAGGTGGCACGTGGAAAGATTGTGAAGTAGTTCAGTTAATTTGATGAAACAGAAATTATGATATAATAATAAATAAAATATATCCACATATTGAGTCAGTTATAACACTTGAACACAGAGTTGTTTTCAAGATTGCATGAAAACGAAGTAGCAGAGAGGTCCCAACTGTCGGTTAAAAGTAACTGACAAACAGAAAAATTAGATAAAAGTAATGTCTAATGTCTAGTTGAAATAGCTGAAATGGTTGGAACATAGTGGGTGGGGTCAATTAAGGGGTGCTCTTCTGACAGGGTTGTGGGAATACATCAGACAAAGGTTGTGAAGCACTAACCGACAGGACATGTTTTACCAGAAGAGAAGAAGCACACAAGAGAAGTCTGTTAAAATTAGGGTCGCTTGCTGCCATTGTGGCGACGGCTGATATGCACAGAATGGCGAATATAAATTCTTTGCTTAATTTTACTAGAAAAGTCCTGGATAGTCCTGTGCATGCTGATTATTACAGGTTTTAGAAATCAGCCGTGGAAGAGTAGCTATAGGCTATCTGGCGTTAAATCTCTCCTTCTCTGAAGCTCCTCTGTTCATATCTGTGTAAAGTTCTCACTGTCTGCTCATACGTCATGTCTCCTCACTGTGACTTCCCTCTATTCCCTCTTCCTGTGTCTGCCTCTCTCTCTGTACTGGCCACTCTCCCTCCTTCCTGTCATTCTGTCCCCTCTTCACGCCATGGGCACAAAGCCAAGTTTAATTCAGCTCGGGAAACCCTCTCATAGGTTCACGCAAATGCAGTGCCTCCTTTGTCCATACTGGCGTGGACAATGTGGCGCCACCATATGAGCCACTTGAAGCTCTTGAGTGAAGTCATCTTAACATGTTGACAAGAGATCAGCTTACCAAGTCCTGATCCAAACCTATGAGCATTATGAGCAAAGAGGCAAAACTGATCCAGGCATCCAGTAGCTGCAGTTTTTTTCATTGCAGGTTACCAAATGCCGCAGGTCAAACTAGGATAAGCCAACCATGTGCAAGCCCCAGACAGACCCTGACCAATCATGTGTACCCTTGGCCTGGTCCCAAAAAAAGTGTCTAGCCAAAATACAGCACAGCTGAGGCTGTTAAAATCACGGGATAATCACAAGAGAAGGGCCCTAGCTGTTAGCTCTCCACAGAGTGATAAGGTAAGCTGAGGAGGAGCAGTGCCTGTTTGGCAGTCGGCAAGGGCTCCCATACATGAAACAATCTATGTGCTGACTGAGTGTGAGGTAACGCATTCCTAAATTGAGATGGCATCTGCTGGTGTTTGGGTGCCTCGGAAATGGATGCGCTTTAAGGCCAGCCATCGCAGCACACTTTGTTACAAACGTACCTTTTCTACCTGATAAAAGCGTGGCAGGAGAAGGCAATTTTCTGCAAACTATAACTATAACTGTAAGAACATGCCAGTACTTGCAGATATAGGGAGCAGGCGAGCTTCAGGTGCTGTTGCAATCTCCATGTAATTGAGGCACTTAAGTGAGAAACGTACGGTACAGAGACTGCTGGTGACTGCTATGAATTTCCGTAGCTTGTCAAAAAAAAATGCTCCTAATTGTCACGAGATGCCTCCCTTAAAGCTCTAAAGGCTGATGAATGACTTGTTAACCGAGCAGTTTTTACTCTTGATTACACAAAATTCTGGAGCCCTCATTACAATTTGACAACATCTGTCGTGAGGTGGAGGTTGTAAGACTCTAATAAAGGCTCATTAGTCTATTCTTACATCTTCCATATCTTGTCATGTGCTGCAATGGACAGAGATTGCCTCAGTCTTAGCATTAAGAATTAACGACGGAAAATGAGAGAAAACCGAAAGAAGAAAAGTGTGTGGAGTGAGTGGAGGGCATTAGTCATGTACATACTTCCTGCTGTTATTGAGTAGCTCAGGCGGTCTGGAGCTTGGCCAGGCCAATTGTTGCTCATTTAGCTGTCAGACAGCCATAGCCGAGAGGCATGCAGCTTCAGGCGAGGAGTGAACATTTTTGCAGTTTCATACTGGTTGAAATGTAAGACACTGTCACGTGAATGTGTTCTTGTGACATGTGATCGACACTTTGAGGTTAAAATCAGTATATATAATTTGGATTATTTTTTCTAGCTTTAAATTGCTCTGTCTCACTTTAGGTGTGTCTGTTTTGGTTTGTTGGTGTTCAGAAAACACTGCAGACGGTAGTACAGGCTCAACAAGCCCGTGTGTGCAGGTTTGTCACACTTGCCAGCATTTATGTGGCACAGTGGTACTGCGTTAGTGCACATCACTATCCAAAAATACCACTCTAGGCTGGCGATTAACAGAGAGAGTGTGAGGGAGATGGAAACATTGATTGAGACAGGCAGACAGCATCGAGCTATTACGTTACTGTGACTGGGTGTCAAAGTCGAGCCCAGTAACAGACTAGCTTGAGGCTATTATTGTCAGACAGCTGTGAATCCAGATAAACGTGACAGAGAACAAGAAAAGTTTGCGATAGAGTAGAACTTTTGCAGCTCTGAAAACGTTGACGTTAATAACAAGTTGGTTATTACTTATTTCCACCAAATTAAGCAAACAACCTTTTTCTAAACGTTCCATTTAGTGTAGTAGAGCCTTTCCAGGGAGCCAAGCTGTATGGCACCGAACCTTAATTAGTATCATTGGTATAACACCTGTGTTTACCCTACTATTTCCTGCCAAAATGGCTGCTGTGAAAAAAACTATGAAACCTGTGTTAACAGATTTTATGGCCACTTGGGGGCAGTGGAAACAAGCTGTAAACACAATGCTGACATATTACCACATCCATTAAGTTGATACGGTGAACTTGTTAGCCAACAGTTGCCTTTACACACTTACACATCCAGGAAAAATATTCATTTAGAGGCATTTTTCTGACCACCTGAAGTCTAATATTCACCCTCCCTTTTAGCTCTGTTTGGTCTCCACCAACTCCTGAAGGAAATATCTGGCCCTGTATGTTCACCAGTTAGTCGCTAACTTGGTGTTCAGTGGGTTTTTAGGCCATTTTTTTCTGAAAATAGCTGCCAGCTTCATAGACGGTGTTCTTTCTGCTATTCAGTTTCTTTAAAGAAATGTCTATTTTGTTGCTAAGGTTTGGCACATTTGTCAGTTTGACTGCAGATTTAAAATTCTGTGTTGTGGATACATTTCACATAAATGATGACAACTCGGGGCTATTCAGAGCACCAGCAGTAAATGCTGAGCTTTCAGTAGACATTTCCCAAACACCTAACAGTGCCACCCACCTTTGCTCTCCACAAGCAAACTGATTCAAGTGTTTGAATCTCAATTAGCAATTCTGAATGTTACAGCTGCAGAAATATACAACATGAGAATATCAGTGTCAGAGGGAGAGGAAGGCTGCTGTTTACTCTGGATTGGTCACTCTACTCATATTTTCTGTTTTAGTTTGGGTGTTGAGACGAATATTTGCAAAGGCCATGTGCATGCCTTTTCTCCTGTTTCTGGGATGCAAAATGAGGCAGCAGGAAACGCTGTTCCCCAGTAGTCAAATCACATTTTCCCCGCCTCCTCTTGTCCTCTCCTACCTGAAAGAGGAGGCGGTGGTTGTTATTTTACTTCGAACCATCAAGCAACAAAGACAATCTATGTCAAAGCTTGTTTAAAAGGACAAAGACTTGCGTGCTTAAATGTGCATAATCATTTGAATGTCATACGGAATAATGGAGGCCTTTTGCCTAATTGATGTTGTTGCTGTGTAGCTTCTCTTCTATGGTACTTTTTTCTTTTTTCCTCCTGTCTTTACCAGCTCACTCAAGTGCTTCGTGACAGGCCATTCGTGACCACATGTAGCTTTATTCTGTGCTGTGCAATAAAAAGGGAAAAATCTCCACTCTGAAATGTAGCTGAAGATTATATATATTAGATAGATATATATTAAATACAAAAAATAGATTAGAAAGACTTTTATACAGACAAACTGCTTCACATTTAATAATTCAGTGGTTTCCTACCTAGAGGTCCAGACCCACACATGATTTGTTTAGGCTTTTCCTCTTATTTTTGTTTTATTTACTGGATCATTTTACTTTTAAACATTAGTCAAATACAACTCCCAAAAAAATATCACTCTTTGGTTGCTCTCATCACAACCTTAATGGTTCAAATGCAACCTGTGACGAGACATTGCTTTGTTTTAAAGGGGTCGCGTAATAAATGTATGCGACCACTGAAGTTCTCAATCGTGAGTTTCATAATAAAAATTACTTTTTAATGACTAGAAAAAGAGAATTCTGGAAATGGTAATTAATGCTAGAAAGCTGGAACTGTCGTTCCAAGAAAAACCTTTTGCACCTGTTGTTTGTCTTAATAGACAAGGACTTGAAAAAACACGTAAAGAGGAAGTTGGGGAGGTTGGATGGATCAGCAAAGTGTGTTGCTCTGACAAAGCCTACACAGCTCCGCAACAGATGTAGACTGTGCATTAGCTTCATCGATCACTCACGCACTAACACTCACTGACACGCCAACGATTAACGACAGCTTCTAGGTTTAAAATACCGTTCTGTTTGTCCAGGTGTCCAATGTCCAGGTTTTCCAATGAAAGAAAACTCTGCCAACTCTCCTTACAAAGCATTTGAGATTTGTGTGCATGTGTTAACATTTAAAAGTGTGTGTGTGTGTGTGTATTGCCAATAATTACATAGTGATGAGGGAGTAAATGTGCTCTGCCACGCTGATGTGTGCTCAGATAGCCACCTGCGATCTGCTCTCTTTCTCTCTCTGTCCTCACCTGCAACCTTCTCTCACCACAACATGCATCTTTTTTCTTCTCACTTACGATATTTCTGCTCGTCATTCTCTCACTGCCCTCCTCCCTTCCTCCCTCCCTCTACTCCTCCTCCTCCTCCTTGTCTCCGTCTTCCCAAACAGGATACCGAATGGTTGGTTTAGCTGGAGGGATTCCTGGCAGAGTGATTTGGTTGTGATGTAATATAAATCACATTGCCAGGGATTTCCAACCAGCTACAGCTGAAAACCCACACCAGCCTCCAAACACCTGACAACTGCTCGGCAAACACCCACGTTGGCAGAAGTCACCGCTCTAAAGCCCTTGTAGCATAAAGTCCGATTTATAATCTCCTCGTGTTTTAAAGAGAGTTAGATGGGAAGATCACTAAGCACTCTCAAGCTCAGCGACTAGACTCTAAGTCTCACAAATAAGCCTGTTAGGTTATGTATATCTTTTGGTCTATTTCTTGGCCAGGTGCAGTAAGTTACTGAAGTCTTCGCTGGTTACAATTAGCTTCACAGTGATGACTGTGTTGGTAGGTGGATTTTTTTTTTACAGAACCAGGATGGCGGTTTCCCTCGGTTTCCGGTCTTGCTAAGCTAAGCTAAGCTAACTGGCTGCTCACAGTGGTTTCATACCTACCATGTGAACACTGCAAGAGTGGTATCAATCTTCTCGTCTAACTCTCGGCAAGAAAAACCAAATAAGCGTATTTCCCAAAATATTGAACTATTACTTAATTGAAATTACTAATACTTATGTCTTCATTACATGTTTTGTCCAGAGTTTGCTAGAGGAGCAGGACTTAGCTCGCTCCGTGAACAGTTCAGTGAAAGCCTGTGTTCACAGTGGCTAAGTTCCGCTCCTCACAAGCCTTTCCAGCTTTCAACGCCCACCGTTACAACAGCTCTAACAGTGAAGTCAACATGGAATCCAAGGGTTTTATGAAATGATGTGCTACGTCCCACTATACAGAATTGTAAGGGGCTTTATTTCAAGGAGATGAACATAGTAATATTGGTGGGTTTTTTGGTTTATCTTCCTGCTCTCAATAATGAGGATGTCTCGCTCTATACCTGCTGTAGCCTACAATAGAGATACTGGTTGTGTAACTGACACACAATGTTTCCTAGTAAACAATTATGGGTATGGTAATAAGCATTATAAGTACACAATAGGCTCAAAGGCCTTTAGCAATGGATTTTCTTCTCCAACCAACTGTTTTAAGACGGGAATCCTGAGAAAAAAGCTACAGGAGAAGAGGGCAGAAGGCAGGGAAGGAGAGCTTACTCATACAGGAAGGAAGTACAGGAAATGTCCCATCGGGAAAGCAAGTAGCAATGTAATTGTGATTCCTGAGCTCATTTACTGTCTGGGTGGTCATGAAAGCAAAGCACTGATTGTGTGTGTATCTACATGTGTGTGTACTACGTGTAAACATGCAGTTGCCTGATGTATGTAGGGAAACATTTTTTTTGTAAATGGTGCTTGCCCACACAGTGCTGCTAACATTATCCTTTGTGTGTCAGACTGTTGTGCACTATATAGAGGTGGTGACATACTTTATTTATGTTTCTGACATTTTATTACCTTTTTGTTTTTAATGTTTATACTTATTTTATTTTCTTCCCTTCACCATTTTATTTGCAACTTATTTCTGCATTTATTTTATGTCCTCATTTTGTCATTGTTTATATGCTGTTTGTTGTATTACTATCCTTTCATAATTTAATCCTGTGAAGAACTTTCTTAAATTGATGTTTTTAAAAGTGCACTACAAAAACTATTATTATATTCAAAGGTATCATGCAATGATAACAATGCTACTGAAATTGAGTGAAATGTGTGTAATTCCAATGGCAGAAATAAGGGAAAATGTATAAAATGTATGGATTAAATAGTCTGTTCCCCTATATTACAAGAAATATAGTGGTACAGTAGCTATTGTGGGATCCAGCTTGAAGATAACCTTGGTTTAATTTACACATAGATATGGAGATAGCTTCTCTCCACCCCAATGTAATGTAAGTGAATGGAATTTCGTACGATGCTCACAAAATTGAAAATATAATAATTTACAGATGAATTGCTCTCTAAGGAAGAAAAGTAGAAAAAAAAACTGTTGACCTGGTGGTATGTGGTCATGGTCATTTTTTTCTGAACAGAGATGTTGCTGTTGAATTGCTTAAATGTAATTTCTCAATGTAGTAGAGGAGGAAATTTCAGTAATGTCTCAAAACCTGGACTCAAAAAACCTATGGCTTGATAGCACTATAGACATAAATGAGAAAACTACTAAATATGTATTTGTTGTATTTACCATACTAAATTGTAGGATAATAAAAAAAAAAGATGAATACATTTGAGGGATATACTCTGTTGAAGTAATAGAGACTTTGTCCTAAAGTGTCCCGAGTCCCGACTACCTGTTGCAGTATACCTGTTGTTTGCTGCCCCTTGTGGTGAAAGTGAGGTGGTGCAGGTGCCTGGGCTCAACCTCCTGTGCCTACTGAGCTGATAACAGTTAGATCTTAAACAAACACTGGCTCAGTTCAGCAGGAACCGGAGTTAGGCCCTCTAGAAACAGCATCGGAATTCGGCTCACCTGGCGCACGCAACAATCAAGATGATATATTAGGTACATTAATGATTTGTAGATCAGTGTTTGCCATAATGCTGTAAATGTATGTCTGAACTTTTGCATACGGAGCAGAATAGCTGGCATGAAAATGTTTTTTCCTACTTACTTTTTAACTGCTCTAAAAGGCCATTTCTTTTTTCCACAAAGCCTCATCAAGGCCATTCTCCAAGTACCAGAGCGTAATCGTCTGTTAATCAGAGCTGAGGAAGCACAGAACGCACATAAATGAAGCCACACATCCTCTCGGAATTTAAACCTCTCACTGTAAAGCTCATGATGGAGGAAATCTGCTTCTGTTGGTTTGGTATTACTAGAAGATCACAGGAGCAGAGTTTTTCCAGTTGTACTCTCTTCGCACTGCACAAACCTTCCAAGAAGACTCCTCTGGGTGTCATTAAGTCATATGGTGTCTTTCAGTAATTGTTTGATATGCCTTCATTCAGTTTCTTTTACCAGACTTCTGCTTGAACACGCTTATTAACTGTGAATATTAACTGATGGTAGAGAAAAGTGAGACATTGGTTGTTGCAGATGAGTTATGTTTATAAATAAGTTCTTAAGTACAGTTTCTAACAAGTTATTTTACATTTTTTCTATTCAATGGTGAATGGTTTTATTCTTCCAATGTCTGTATTTATGTGTGTATTTATGTTGGTTGCCTTATTTCTGTTGTGAAGTAAAATAAATAAATAAAGTTACTTACAATATAAATAGCTGTACTTGCCTACTTCAGTACAATTTTAAGGAAGTTGTACTATACTCATACCATATACTTCTGCTAATTTCAGAGGGAAATTTTAGCATTTTTATTACATTACAAGACTTTATATAAAAAGACATTTCGTAAGCTTGTAAAATGCATTACATTTTTAAAAATAAAAACAAGTGGTTCCTAATTGTTTTGGCTTGTGACCCCTTATAAAAAAATTTCTTGATGTCCCAGCAGTCATTATGTCCCTTAGCCCTTCAAAGGTAGACCTTACTAAAGTCAGCCTGAGTATTTGAATATCGTTTGAGATGGTGGAGGGCGTTGCCTGATAGGGAAGTGGTATGGGGAAGTAAACATGGAGTTGTTAAACCACCAAATCACTGGGTTATGCTGAGGATGAGGACAGAAAACACTGAGTCACTGAGACATTTTTACAGCAGTTCAATGTGTCACTGGAAGGAGTGGAAAGTATTCACAGCACAGGCTGGAGCTCACAGTCGGGAGAAGGTTATGAACATGTATTTTCTTATTTTTTTTTTTTTTGCACTTATAGGGATAGCTAATAATTTGTATGATACACAGATTAAATTAATGTTTTTAATTATTTGGAATTTCTGTGGTTTATGGAGACGACAATTACATTTATTGTATTGTATTACTTTATTAATCCCACAACAGGGAAATTCCCTTGTCACAGCAGCATTTTACGTGAAATAAATAAATACAGATATATATAAAAAATAAAGTTGCAGATGCTTTATGAGTAGTTATAGTTGTTAATACTTAAAAACATCTATATCTATCTGCTTACAACTACAATATGTGTGATAGTTGTATATAAACATTTATTAACTGATAATATGCTGCTTATAATTAGCGGATAGGGGGTTAAAATTAAGTGTTGTGTATTTAGTAATGTCTGTCTCCGCCATTATAATCCAAATACACATGAGGCAGGTGGAGTTGATCTATTACCATTATTTTCCCACTGAACACATATGTAATTATTTATTTTCACCTATAGTAGCAGTTGCACACAAAAATGTAATCTTGAGGGACTAAATGTGTTACTGCTGCTGCCTTATGAGAAATTACTGCTGATGACACTAATTGCAAACATGCCCAGTTCAATGTCAGACTGTTACTGTTTGCTTCTGAACATGTAAAAGTCAAATCTGTAAGACACTAGCTTCAGTCTCAATTCAACTGGGGAAAAGATCTGATTTAATATACAATTAACAAGTAAATTTGACTTCAAGACCACATCTAATCTTGCTCAAAAGGTGCTTTCTCTGATGGATATTTTTGTCTCTGTTCCTTCTCCTATCAAATGATTAAGCACATCAAGGTTGCTATAAATAACCCCAAAGCACTGTTCCAGCCTGAATACTAACTTAGCCCTGTTTATTATTTATAATATTACATAACATATTTATAATCATTTTGTAAGAGCTTCTCTGGACAGCGCCGCACTTGGAGTCTGCACCTCCTTCAGTAAATCTCATACGTTGCTCAGACCAAGATTTAATTCCTGGATGATGTTGTTTATTGTAAAGGAAATAAATATGTGCATAAGTCAGTAACTGTGAGTTTTGGGGCTTTACTTTGAAAAAAAGATGGGGGGGGGCACAATAAAGGTGACATAAAGAAATACTATGTTTAAGAGCTGTGATTTGGGTTTTTTTTCTGTTTCTTATCAGCAAAAGAAGAGGATATGAGAGATTTTTAGCACTTCATCCTCGTTCCTTTTTTTCCATCCGGATTCTGCAGCCATGAGTCATGTACCTGTTTTTGTTTGTCGTCTGGCCTGTTGTATCAGCACACAAAATCTCCAAATTAACACACATTTATAAACACCTGCATCCACACAAACTCCTCTGTTACATAACTCTCATTTTTCCACAGGTACATACAGTATACCAACTCCCACAAGTTCAAACAATAAATATAAGCCAGCTACATACAGTCTCACACTGACCTTGTGAACCCAAAACATTAATGCACAAACAGTATAAGTTTCTCTCGTAAGACAGTAAAAACACAGCTGTAATGTTATACTGAGAGGGAGGCCAGTTTGCGTGACAACACATCATCTTCCATATCTGAGCGAAACCACAGCAACAGCTGTGTGCGTGTGTCTCTCAATGTGTGTGTGCGCATGTGTTGAGTGCAATCTGTGTTCAATATGAAAATAAATCATTTAAAAGTCTGTCTCAAGCTTGTTTGTGACAGTGTCAAAGCCAAAGCCAGCATGAGGTCTCAAATGTGGATAATTAGAGTAGACTCACTCACATTTCCACACATGACACTTTCATGACATATATCATTTCTGAAACCATTTCTAATATGTAATTAAACTGGGCAAAAACTGTCAAATATAAAACATGCAATGACTGTTTTTATATTTAACAAATGTGGATTAGGACAAACCCGATGAGGCTTTTCTTACATCTGAATGTCTAATGAAGCAGACTAAAATCTCCAACGTATTGTCACCTAGCAGGATCCAAACTCAGTATTTAATGTGACAGAACTGAGAAAGTTTTGAATAGCCGATTTGTAATAAATCAGAATTGAACGTAATATCTGGGTATTTTGAAATCCTATTATGAGTGTTCTCTTAGTCAGCCGGGATGAGAGATGAGATAAACAAAATAGAGTCTGGGGCAATTTAAGCCTCTTTAATTGGTTCCAGTGTGCAAAGAACGCTTCACAAAACTCAGAGAGATATTATGGCTGTGCTCTCTGACCCGAGCGGCTCTCTATGTGTGCAGTTTTGTCTTCTTATCTCTGCTGGCTGGCTGCAGTGGCTTTGCCTTTTGCATGTTTCACTCATGTTCAAGCCTGTGGTTCTTACTAAAATGGATAAGAATTATGTGAAAACAATTGCTGTAGGCTCATCACTCCCTGAAACCAAACACCAAGCGTAGCACTGCAGAAACTGAGGTACTGAGATACTATTGGAAGTTTTGTAAATAAATAGCAGCAATGGTAGCAGCAAGTGACAGAAGCAGAACATAAGACCCTTAACGATTTTTACTGAGTGCAGAGAAACTTTATTTGAGCTTTTGAGACTCCCATTACCAACAAGAGACCCTACAAAGCCAATAGGAACCTCTTCCCGAAACATATGCAACCACCCAGAGGAAAATGTACAGCAAAACTATTACAGGCCCAACATGAAAATTCATATTTCACTAGTATCTAAATCAACATTGTCAAAACATTATATTGCATGAGCGAAAAGAAAAATGAGCTCAGTCACTACAAGAAAGTAAGTTACAATTAACAACAATGCACATAACGATAGGTTGTTGACAGCAGCATAAGAGCATACATTAGCAGGCAGACAGACGCCATTACATCACCCATAAGCAGATCAGCGTGAGAGTCATAAAACAGAAACAGACAGCAGGATCAGCAAACTCGAAAGCGACTGTTAGACCAAGCACACAGACACTAGCTGCACGTTAGCACAAACAGGAAACACTTACTTAAGCATGGTGAAGTGAAGCAGAGATCACCAAAAGAACGAGGCGCCAATGCCTGAAACAAAATCCAACAACAGGACAGGGAAACATGCATCTGAAGCTTCAAATGCATGTTTGAAGCTGATATGACCCAAGGCTAGAAGCAGAGAGTGCAGCAAAAACAAAATTATTCCTCCACAAAGCCATCCTGAAGCTATATTACTGGACTGTTGGCAGGCAAACAAGCATATTAAATACCATATGAACAACAACATTGGTGGCAGTGAGTAATTGAAGCAGGTACAGCTGAATTTTTAAGTTACCTGTGGGCACAGCAGCATGATAAATAGAGATATTGGTATTTGCAAAGGGTGCGTTTGATATACCATATTCGCTGATATATAAGAAAATCTGGAAATGTTTAAAAAAGTGTGGGTAATATTATACTGAAGAAGATGAGTACAGGTGCCTGTGTTACTTAATGATTATATAGTGATTATTATTATGATTAATGACTATATTACATAGTGTTGCATTATGAGCAGCTTCTAATGTTGCTGCATTTTTTTCAGCTTCTCCATGTTTTGCTGCCAAAGAGAAAATAAATTCCCAACGAGTCATAGTTTCATCTGACATCTTTACCTGCCAGGGAATGACTCATCTGTCAAGCCGACAACACACACAGCCACAGATTGTCAGATGAGCAGCTCAAAGAGATGAAAATATGTTAACTGCCAGAGAAAATGTATCCGACCACTTTCATTAGCCTGACAGGAGACTGTAGATGACTAATAAACAGAAGGAATTAGCTGTACTTGAAAACACACAAGCTACACGAGTGTGAGGTCTTTAAGAGGAGTATTCATGTTTCACTTCCAAAAAAATAAAGGCTTCAAGGATGTGGTGTGTTAGGTAAACTTTCTCAACAGATTAAAATATTTTTTATATTCAGAAAGTGTTTGAAAAGATTATTTTATTCAGGCCAAAAGGAAAGAACGGTGGCAGGTTAATAGAGTGTGTGTAGTGAGTTTACTCCAAGATGGAGAGCCAGAAAGTCGAAAACACAGGAAGCTATCATAGCATACTGTAGTGAGGCGAAGTCCTTCCCCTTCCGGTGGCCCCCATGGGACCTTATTTCGGAAAAAATATGTACGGTAATCAGCGGCAAGAGACAAATAATATTTTGATCCTGTTTGAATTACACATGTGATGTTTGTCAATGTATATCTCCAAAAAAAGCTCCCTGTTTAAAAAATAATGAAGTGTAAAAATGTCCCATTGCTTTTATGTGAAAACGCTCAGTCATCTCTCGTCTCGCACAATATGTCACCAACACCAACATGGCTGTCACCTTGGCACATTTAAAAAAGAGGTGAAAATCACTACAAGTCAGGCCATGTTGAGAGTGGAAGCCATGTGAAAGGAGTCGGTCCTGTAAGATAGCATGCCAGAATGACTCTAAAGGGTTTGGTGAATTTTATGTCACTTACATTTCTTTTGGGTGTGTAGTCTTCATACTTCATACTTCATAC